TCTTCCGTGTTACAAAAATTCAACGTCATAGACTGTAGAACTATTTTAATACACAGGTAACTGCATATTATAATTATGTATCATAGGAATGCCTGTGTACAAAAGACAAAATAAAAATGTCATTGGCATTCTTTAGAATACTGCTGTATCACATTCCAAATTGAACTTGATGTCTTGTTAAAACATGACTGAGAACCTGGAAAACTGTTCCACTTCTGTTTTTACCACAAACTTGTGTGACCCTGGGCAAAATGCTTATCTTCAGCTTCAGTTCTTTATCTGTAAAGTGTCAGTAATATATTAGCTTTGCAAGTGTGCTGAGGCATAATTCATTAATATTTGTAAAGCACTTTGCCTTCCTTGGATGGAAGGTGCTATATAAATGCAGAGTATTATTTATTTATTCTCTCCCTCTCTCATTGTTTCCTTCTAGATGTTACCGTGTTTTTCTGCAGTTTCTTTTCTCTCTGTACATGTGAGACCACATTTATTTGCATCATCCTGCCACATTTGGATCAGTCTTCCTGTGTATACTTGTTACCCCTTTGCATTAGATGTTGTCATTAGTTTTGTGTTGCACTTATCCATTCATTAATCATTTGTTAATGCAAACCTTAAATATGGTTTCCTATACTGTTTCTTCTATTGACATTTGGTCACTGAATAATTGCTGTTTCTGCATAGTCCAACTTTAGGTCTTTTGCTTGGGTGATTTATTTAGTTGGGAGTCAGCAGAAAAAAATAATTAACCTTCAGTTAATTTGGAGGGCAAGTTACTTACTTTAGTTAGGAAGCTCTTATTTTGTTGTACCTGTTTAAGGTTAAACTTTACAGAAGAACCAGAACACTTAAGAATGGCAATGCAACCCACTTCAACTCAGCACGTCTTTTCCACCTGCCCCTCCCAGCACACGCTTCCTTATCGCTCTTTACACACTTTCTTATTGTACCCATATCAGGGCACAGAAAATTAATTAACTCCACTATAGGATAGTGCTGTCTGGGACAAGTACTATCCTATAGCAGAGTAATTTATGCTGCCACAACGCATGTGTAGATGGGGACTGGGGCTGGCTGGGGCACGAGGGTGCTACAGTGTGGGAGCTGCCTGCCAGTATCCCTGCACTGTAACATCCTTGTGCCTCTGCCACCTGCCACTTGAAGCCTGGGGCTGACCTCCAGGCCCCCTGCCAACCTGGGGCTACTCCACCTTGGTTCTGTATGTTGCAGTCTCAGGTGCATGTGTAAACACTGTGCCCGGGAGAAATAAACTCCAATGCAAACACACATACATAGACATGTGGGGGGGTGCACATGTGTGGTTCTCCCCATGTGACAACATTTAACTGTTAGCACTCTTACACCTGCAGCAGGTGTAAAAGGTGTAATTAGCAGTAGCTCTTGCCTTAATATTTCCTCTTTCATGTCACCAAACAATTCTGAAATATTAAAAAAGAAAAAAAAATGAAGACTGCAGGAATAAATTGTTCCTGTCATGACAAGCTCTGCTTGCCAATTCTCTGCATGATTTTTCCCTTTCTTGATTTTTCTTTGTAGATGTGTGCTGCCTGTATGCTATCAGTTCCCTCTTCCTTGCACCTGCCCCCAAAAGACATGGCCATTTATAAGAGGATTGTAACCTGTTGTAAGGTTTCTGGGTACTATGCACACTTTGAAATTCTGCTTCAGTTACAGACGTGTTTAAAAATGTCTGTGTACTTTAGATATGCATTTATATAATTTATGGAGTGGCTTCAGTGGAAGTATATAGCTGTTTCTGCATTTCTGAAAATACCTTTAAAAATCACTCCTCAAAACCTCTGTGGACTATTTTGAGACTATGGCAAGCCTAAAGAAAAGTTTGGAAAACTTTCCAAAAGGAAATAAAGTACAATTTAGGATTCTGGCATCTTACATGCCTTTTCTAATTTGCTCTGGATTCTTTGCCCAAACTTTATGCTGTTATGGCATCTGGCATGCAATATTTGCTGTATATTATTTAAATTTTCTGAAATTGTTGTGCATGTGCGTGTCTGTGTGTGGGGGAAGAATTCAGAAGTTTGAAACTAATCTGATAGTGGGTAATGAGCAGTAGGCCTGTGTGAATAGGGAAGTATTCGATTCAGATTTGGCTGATTCAGAGGATGTTGATTTGATTTGGATCACTGTCCTGAATTGATTCAGCCAAATCGGCTTTGGAATATTCGGTGCCGATTTGGAGATTTGGCTATAGACTATAATGGGGAATTGCTGAAATACCTATAATTTTGTCATTTTTGGGCTGATTTGGATAAAAGTTGCAGGGTGGTAGCCCCTTCTGAGGGCATGAAGCCTGCCAAGTTTCAAGGAGATAGGTGCAGGGTTTTCTGGGAAACTGCACCTCAGGTTGCTGACAAGCAAAACATGTGACATGGGTGCCTGTGTATGTTAAGGCATGCCCTCACTGGCGCTGGGGCACGGTAGTGTGCCCCAATGAGGTCTCCTCCTCCTCTACAGCCTCAGTCTGGTCCACCACCTTAAATAACAATAGGTAAGCACTGCAGCACAGTAGCACTAGCTACTTTCTTTCCTTTTCTGCAGGAGCTTCTTCTCCAGCAGCTGCCAGAGAACTCTGTGCCAGTCCCAACCATAGGGCTTAGATGTGCCCAGGGCCCTGCCTCCTTCTGGTTAGCTGACTGGGGACAGGTGCTAGGGCTGTTGGTCTAAGGACATGGCACTGGCAGGGAAGGGTTTTGGGTCAATCTGGTATCTTTTAGTAGACCAACTGAATAGTTGGAGAAATGTATCGTAGCAAGCTTTCGGGTTGAAAAACTATTAGTTAGGCTGAGGAAGCACCTGCAGTTGGTGTGTGCTCTTCCTGGATGGAAGGGAATAGTAAAGAAGCCAGAGGCTGGCACGCAATGCAGGCAATAAAGCCAGTTAGTGAAAAGGGAAAAAGAGGAATAAAGGGGTGAGAGAGACTGGCGGGGGGACATAAGTTTCTGTATCTAGGAGGTTAATGAAGTGAACTTCATAGGCCCGTCTGTGAAAAGTAGTTTGTAAATTCTAACAAGCACCAAACCTTGCTAACCTCATCATCAGAAGCGAACTTCCTACAGCCCAAAACACAAAACCTGCCAACGTATCTCCAGTACCCCCACAAACTGTGCACTAGAAGCTATCAAAGACAAGAATACCCAACTACCTGTGGGGGCACATTTTTCACAAAAAAACACTGCGCCTCCAGTCTCTCAAGCCTGATTCTCAAAGGGAATTTACAAACCACTTTTCACAGACAGGCCTATGAACTTTACTTAATCAACCTCCTAGATACAGAAACTCATGGACTCAATATAGACAGTCGATTTATGACATGCTACAATGTGCTGGACATCTGACTCCCCAGGTACCTCTCCACTTTTACCTGCTACATCCCCCTTACCCTACCCCCCCCAGCCTGTTTCTCTCACCGCCTGACGCCTCCACTTCCATTTTCACTGACTGGCTTGCTTGCTTGCATTGCATGCCATCCTCTGGCTTCTTTACTATTTCTTCCATCCAGGAAGAGCACATACAACAACTGCAGGTGCTTCCTCAGCCTGACGAAGGGTTTTTCAACCCAAAAGCTGGCATCCCAGGCAGCTAAGCTGAGCTCACTTGGAGCCTCACAACTGCACTGCATCTAGCAAGCCTCAGGTCTGTCAAAGACTTTATGGGTCTGGGCTTTCCCCAGCTAGGACTGTGTGTGCGCGCGTATGGCGGCTGGAGGTTATGGCGCCTCCTACCCACCTTTCACCAGGGGGATCCTCAGTCTTGGCATTTCTTGGGGCTGTCGCACCACTGGCAGTCCCGCCAGGCCTTCCGAAACTGCCAGAGTGCAGTTTTAGTGGTCATGCCCAGGACCTGGGGTCCCCTCCTTCCCCATAGCCCCAGCCCATACCTCCAAGTTTGTCCTGGCACGGGAGCTCAGCAGGGACATGTTCTTCCCCTGCTGGCTGGTGATACAGTAAGTGCCACCTCCAGCTCAGAGAGCGGGGTATTAACTGGTTTTAAAAAAAAAATGGAAGTAGGTGTGGGTAGAATGAGGAGGGTGGCACTCTCTGCATCTGCAGGTGGAGCTTAGGAAACCCCAGCAGTGGGAGGTTGGCCTTGAGGAACACCAGTTGCTCCACCTAACCAGGATCCAAGGAGGTGCGGTGGGGTGTCACAACGTCCCCTGCAATGCTGAACACCCTCTCGCTCGGAAAACTGGGCGGTGGACAGGACAAGTGTTCCTGGGCAACCGTGGCTAGATCCTGTCATCTGGCTGCAGGTTGCCCAATAGGCCAAGGGGTCGCAGTCCAGTGGCTCCGTGTCCTCCATGAGATAGGTAGCCACCAAAGTCTCAGCGCTACCTGCCCGAGGCTGGGGTCTGGTGTGTCTGGACCCCAACATTGAAGCCATGCCCTTGGCCCACATTGGCAGCGGATGGCGTGGAGGAGACTGTCTGGTGCTGGTGCTGTGAATGCTGGCACAGGAAAGTGGATCCCCATCTTCCACATCCCCTCACCTCTGTCCTTCTGCCTCCCTGATTGTTCACCAGCACCTCTGTCCAGTGATTGAGGTTTTTGGTGCTGCCAATGCACATGCTCCCCTTGACCTTTGGGTTGCACATGCCC